TATGATGAGTTGAAGCAATACATCTGCTGTAGACATGGCGCTGTTGTAACCAGCACCACAATCTTTAGTTTGAAAAGCTGTGGCCTCAGGGGACGGGGGTATGTGGAAAAGAAGAATAATGATCCAGCTTCAGAGTTCAGGGGCCTGACAGGAACATGACCAGGCCCTGAAAAAGATGACAGTCCTCTGTAGCCATGTCTACATGGACTTTTGAGAGGTCCTTGCTTTCTAACATGGAATTTTACTAGCGCAAGTGAAATGGCTTAATTACACCACTTTAATTATACCGTATCATTCTGTCTGTGACACTGTTATTCTAATAGTGCCCATGCTAGTGGGGGACAGGCAAAGCTTTAGCCGTATAACTACAGCAATACACATGCACAAGGTAAGCCCTCAGAGAGCAGATATGCAGACTACAAGACCAAAATAGATTCCATTAAATGTTTGCAGGACATTTTAGGCAAGCTGAATTAACTTCTCTCTACTGGTATTTAGCCAAGACACCAATGTTGGTTACTTTCTCTTGTAGACATCAGCTCTTTGCACTTCCTCTTTGAAGCCTGACTCCGTGTTCTGCTTTCTTAAGTATCAGAACTCTTTTCTATGCAAGACTATGAATCAGTACCATTGTTTTATTGTCTGAAAAAATGTAGACTTACTTGTGCAAGCAGCGGTAGGTATTGCTTCCCTTTGCTGTCATTTTTCTTGTATTGAAGGTCTAGGATGTTTCTCCTTCACATTTACTTGGGAGGTAGATTCATAACTGAAGTCTATTAAAATGCACAGAGCTGCTCTATCATCTTTGGTGAATGTATTTATAGATACTTTAATTATCTCTCAATCAGCACAGAGTTGTATCTTCTAATCAATGCGTTCCATATTAAAAAATAAACATTTCTTTGATGCAGTCGAGCCTCATATTGCTAGAGTATCTTTAAAACAATGGTGGATTGTTTCCTTCAAGTATAATCCACAACCCTGGTTCTTACATTAATTGGTGCTGGCTTCTCTGAGTGACACAAGGGAATGCTTTTGAAGTTACATCACAATTCACAATTTTAGCACCCAGCGTGGAGGATCTAAAATACTGTCAACCTGAAGTGGGCTTAAGTGCTTTCACAGCTCCCAAACTAGACCCCGGCTTATTCTATAAGTGCCCGACTGAAGCTAGCAAGCTTATCATTGGGCATGTCTAGACATGCGTTTAGGCGCGCCTAAATTTAATGTGCATTAATGCAATTCAGGCTCACGTCTACATGTGCATGCGTTAAAGCGCATTAATGCTGTGTGCGCGGATTGACGCGAGACTAAAGTTAGTGCCAACTCAGTCCATACGCAGCGTAAATGTGCTTTAACGCATCTTTCTGTGCATTAATGCGCTTCAGCTATTCGCGCCCAAATTTAATACCTGCTTTCGCAGGTATCAAATTTAGACACAAATAGCCTAAAATTGCCTTTTCTAAGGTGCATTACGGGCGCACACGTGTAGACACATGCCCTTAACGCACCTTAAATTAAGCTAAAGCAGCTTAAATCTGCATGGGTAGACACACCCATTGAAACCAAATAACCAAAAAAAGCGGGGTGGTGGTTACTAGTCTTTGCATCTTTCAGCAGAAGCAGAATGGCTTATTTCTCCCCCAGGTGTGTGCATGCATGCAAGAAGGGACAGTGCCATTGAGTACTGGAGAAAGGAAGGTAGGGCCAACTTCTCAGCTGGTAAATCAGCAAAGCTGAAGCTAAGCAATTGAGATTCAGAGCTGCAATATGTACCTGGCACCAACGTTTGAAGTGGCAGGAAGTCATATGGAGAACGGCAGACCCCCAGACCGCAGTTCTGTAATACCAGAAATTCCTCGTTTTCTTCCTGCACAAGAAGATTCCAGACTAAAGAAGGGAGCCCTTCACACTGTCTATATTTTCATGTCATTTTAAACACAAGCCCTATCTATGTAGAGGAAAATCCTGTTGCTTTAGCTATGATGTTACAGATCCTCTCCAGGATCCTCTATCGGTAAAGCCTGGGTTACAAAAACAAAACCACCACCACCACACAGCTACCTGCTAGTTCCCATCTCTACCTACTTTTCTGCACTTTTGTTGAGCTGCAATCTTTGACTCTCTTTCCTACAAAGACCTGAAACACTTGACTCAAGTCCCTCGATCCATTTCCCCGGGGGGAGAGAACTACAACAGCGTGACTGAAGCCACTTGCAAGACTCGCCCTTAAGGAAGTCTATTCCTCGCCACGAGCATAATAGTAGAAATATATATATTACTCCATTGTAACCTCAATGCTGTCCTAAGATCGTCAGTAATCAACCAATACCGCTTGCAAGCGCCGCTTTATTCCCTGCTTCAAGTTTAGGATTAGGATCTTTGTAAGTATGCAACATATAGAAACTGTATCAACTGCCAAAAGATAAGCCTGGCACGGCCTTTCAGGAATGTGTCGGCTCCTATTTTCCGGCAGGAGGAGGCCAAGCCCCAGAGATAAGAGTGGTAATGGTTTTGTTTTTTTTCCAACAACAACCACCTTCGCTCTGAATGAGTTAGCAACTCCAATTGTTGCTTGTGAATCAGACTCCATTGTGCTGGTGTATTTATGGCTACGCTGCGGACAAGTTCAGACCTATAAAAAGTTGTGCAAGTGGTTTACACAATCCCATAGTGATGGAAAGAACCCCAAATGCACGGGGTATACTTCTGTGGCATAAAACTTTAACATTGCTTCAAGTTTTGAATTTTCAACTTTTGCTACACAATAATTCCCTTAAAGCCAGGATAACTTTATGCAAGGAACCCAATTACTCTTTGAATGCTGGTAAAATGAAATAGGGGGGAAACCCTGAACAGAAAGTTTCAAAATAGGTATCAAGGACACGGATGAATTCTTGCAAGGATGGAAAATGTGAGCTGCAGGGAAAGCCAGGTTTTCACTTCCACAGAGAATGTAGGTAGCCAGTATTTAGAAATAGCCTAGCACATGCAATTATGTTAATGCAAGAGTAATGCTACAACATCTAACGATGTGAGGAACTAAAAAGAGCAAGGTTACACAACCGCCTCTCAATTGTGTGTACACCAATTTCTCAACAAAAATATTCCCCACCAACTGGAGATACATGCATGCTACACCTATTCTTTCATTTATTATGCCTCAGCAAAATAATCAGCCTCTTAAAACATTTTGTATAGAAAAAAAAATATTAATTGTGCTAAGTGTATTAGGCACTTAGCAAGTATATCTTGTGTTCTGCTATCTGGAGAAAAATTAAGTTGGCTAGGTTTTCTATATAGGTTTTGCACAATGGTAGAGTAGAATATTTTCCAGATATGCACAGCCTATGAGACCCTAATACCCTTTGGTATTAGCAGGAACAACGACAACGTTAAGCAAAAGACTAATGGCTTTACAGTATTTCAGAGAATCGCAGAAAGTTTCTGCCATCTTCTGCCTTTACATTTGAGGGATCACCCATTTCCATGTCATAGGAGCAGGACTGGAAGCATAAAACAGCAACATGCCCCACTATAAATGAAACTTTAAAAAGGTGGCTTGATTCATCAGTTTGGGACAGATCGTTCTCCAGTTGAAGCTAATGGAAGTTTTTGGTATCTACTCACATGGGACCAAATCCAGGAATAAGAGAGCATCCACAAGGTCTGCGGCATGGCAGTTTGCACATATACCTATACAAACCAATACCAATTAGGTTCCTAGGAACCTGGTAGCTTGCAAACAACTGTCTGCTCCCGTATCCAGGTCTTAGTCATTCTTTAGAAAGAATCACCATTATCTTGAACCTGTGTCTGGCCATTGAAGAACTAGATTCCACTCATTTTCTCCAGTATGAGCAAGCAGCCCGACTTGAAGCAAAAACTGAATCAAACAGCGGTATGGAGAGCATTTCTGCAAGTGCTGCCCAATTGGATAGCTATATCCACTGGCTGTTATCACGCTAGTCTGAGTTAAGGATAAAAACAAAACAAAACCAGAGCTATGCTCAGATTTACAGACACTTAAATATCCATGGGGAATTCTACTCAACAGCATGCAGCAACATGGATGAATAGTTCAATTCACCAAGTTAACACTGCAAAGCCACCTCACTTTTGCTTTGCCACATGACAGCAGTGTCAGATCTGAGCTGCCTTTCATTTTATCTCATCACCAGGTCAAGATGTTCTTACTCTAGAAAGGCCAGTTTAGATTGCTCATTTCCTTTGTGGCTTTCGATAAAATTCCAAACACAAGGACATGTTACCCTACAAAACACAACTTCAAAATATGTCTGTTCTGATGTGCGCAAAGTGGTCAGCTGTTACATAGGTTTTATTGTATCCAGTTGACAAAACAGGATGTAGTCTCTGCATGTTGTCTCACCCGACTGCTATTTGTTCCTTCTCACTGCCTCCTTCGCCCACTTCTTACGGCTCACTGGGAATGCAAAGCTTTTTGGGGGTTGCACTTGTAGCATAGCACATAGGGTACCTATACAGGAGTGCGGAGACTGCTCCAACGCTCTGGAATTTCAGTGCATGGAGCATGGCAATTACTACGCTCCAGCAGCCTCCTGTGTCTCATGCATCAGCATCCCTATGCTTAAAAATGGCAGCAAGGGGTTGAACTAAAGCTCTAACGGGATGCTGATACACGAGATGTAGCGGCGTTTTAATTGGAGCAGCTCTCAGAGCCACTCTAATTAGAGTGCTGCCCCCCCGCCACAGCATGTGTAGAAGTGCCCATAAGCCTCCAAGTCCTCCTACAACTGCAACAAATCTATTTAACCATAGTGTTGACAATTTAGAAAGCACTATCCATTAATGGTACAAGTATTAGAGTCTTTTTGGTCTTTATCCCAGAGGTTTAGAGGGAAAAAAACCCAAACAAGTTTTGATATATGAACAGGGGGAAAAAAAAGCACTTGAAGGTAGTTGCCCCTCCAAGAGATTTTACATAAAACTTTTGTCATCAAAATAAGTCATAGACAAGCCAGTAGAATATAGTTTTATTTACATTTCATATTCAAAGGAATTCAGTAGAAATCATGAATTATTTACAACATGTTTAAATTACACTGCACAGAAATAGGAAAAATGCATCGTTTTCTCCCAGTAGATTCAACAAATGAAAGTAGTACATTATTATTGCTGTTCTTGAGAGTAAGTTCTACTAGCACTGACATCAGAAACACCACCACAAATTACAACAAAATACAAATAAAGTGCATTTTTAAGATGCATTTAGTTAACTTTGGTGGACAAGGCTCTAGACTTTGAATTAAGGCACCGTGTTCCACCCAAACACCCTAGTCCAACTCCCCACAAATAAATTTCTGTTTACAGCACATCAGTCGTCACTGCAATTTTAACCAGCTTGCTAGACTAAGCACCCCTTATGTCCTTTTCCAGCTGTTGCCTTATGTTATTTTATTGGGTCACTTTCAGTGGACCTTCAATCTCAGTGGACAGACTTCAGATTTCAGACTTCCTCCAAACCAGGACTAGCAAACATTGCTGGTGCTGAAGCTATGGAAACAACTCTTGGACCCAGCGGTAGTTTTCAGACTCTGCTTACACTATTTTACGAACAAGAAAAAAAAGCCAGACTTGTTCCCTTTACAATGTTATGCAAATCAGATGCAACTGGTCATTTGAAGCCCTTGAAACATTTTTAGGAATGTGTCTCAGATGGATTAGAATCTTTACCTTTCACCGCCACTAGGTTAAATATATTCCAAAAGATATTACAGGCAAAACACACCGACAGACAACCTTATATTTTGTCCTCTTAAATTTAGTGCATCGGTATTATTGACATTGCTTTAAGACAGACATTTGCATCAGTTTAAACAAGTAGTCATCCAGATCAAAATTGATTTGGTTGTAATAAAATTCTATTTTTTTATACTAAATCTAGAAGCCAAGAACCTCAAAAAACAAAACAAACAAATCGCAGAAGAAACAGCTCCTACAGGATGAGACAATCTTCTCCTTATTTTACAGAAACAACATTGGTTTTCAAAACCTGAACAGACGTTTTGCTCTGTAATAGCATGGCCATGTTAGGCAGGTTTGGTTTAGTGTTAAAATAACTGTTTTCTTCATATATTCCCTTGAAACAGCTTGTGTGAGGAACACTAGAACTAAGGTCCATGTGGAACATAAAAACGTTGAAACGAACAGAAGGTTAAGCATTCCAAACCACATAATTACGAGCTGTTAAAAAACAAACAAACAAAAACCCTCTCCTAGTTCTTCCCGACATTTCCAAGGTAACATTGCTGCAGTGGTAGTCCACCAGTTTGTTGGGATGTCTGACGTATGCATGACCATGGCCGGCAGTTTGTTACAGAGGGTTCCAACTGTGTTGCTGGATGGATGTTTAGGACCTGATTTCATGATCACATGCTTCATCTTCTTCAAAGCTGGGGTTACTGAGGTGTGGGAGGACATCCACTGCTGGAGACTGGGAATCGTTGTTGACGAGATGCAGGTCATCATGGTTGCCATCTTTCAGGAGAAAGAAAGAGTCAACAATCAAAAAGAAATAAATTCTTAAGAGTTACTGTTACCCCAAAGCATGTGTAAGGCCTCAAGTTCTCACCCTCGCCTGATCAGTGAGCTCCCTACACATGAAGTCCAAGCCCTTTCAGGTTCATTTATTCATTTGATCTCCATGCCACCCTTTCCAACAGAGGCTCAAAGCAGCTTACAATAAGAGAACAGAAGATTTCTAACAGAAAGTGACAAAATAACTTCAATGGGAACTAGAGTATTAGCCTGAGACTCCCTAACAATGTCTCAAGCTTTGTTTGATGAATGCCTGCACAAATTGGAAGGCCTTACAATGCCCCTGAAAGCGGTCCAGGCCCAGGCTCTGGTAATTTTGAGGGGGAGGGAGTTCCAGACCTGAGGAGCATTGCTGAGAACGGTCTGTCACACAAATGGATTTGGCCTATTGATACTCACAGGAAGGTGCTCTTGGCCGACCTCAGGGATCACAATAGGGAGTAAGGAGAAGGCAGAACCTTAGGGCCCAGTCTGTTTAGGGCCTTAGAAGTCTAAACCAGCACCCTGAATTGCACCTGGAAAGTTACTAGGAGCTAGTGAAGACCATGGCCACCTCCTTACTTCCTCATTTTTGGTGTCCAGAAGGTGACAACTAGACTTTGGCATGAATATCCCAGACAAGAGAGCTCCAGATTATATAGGAGGAAGACAAAGACATAGCAGAATAGACAAGAAGCTTAGCAAGAAGGTAGCAGCAGTCAACCAGAATGACGCTACCATACACTAGACAGAGCCATGCAAGAGGGAAAGGCACTTGAAGACCAGAGTGGCAAAGACAGAACAACAGCCGAGCTCGTTAAAAGAAAAAAATGTACATGTGGAAATGGTGTATGTTTGGCTACAGGGGTTCAGCATGAAAAATGTCTGAGGGCTGACAGCTGGCCTACGTGGAAAGATCTGTTTGCACGTTCGAGCGAAAAGCACAGACCCAAATGTAAACACCCACCTGTGCTTTCCAGAGCAAAATGCCCCAATAGGTGGCAGCAAATGCCACTTCTTCTGAACGATTCTCTCAGAGCCGCTCTCCATTACACTGCCACAAGTGGTTTGTTTTTTTGGGTGGGGCAGGAGGGGGTATATTTATTTATTCTTTCTCCCATTTAACACCCTACTAGAATCCATTGGGGAAAAAAAAAAAGAGGCAGGAATTTAGACGGAAAAAGTGTCCAGACAGAGCAAGGGTTGGCAACATTTTTGGGCAGAGCGCTAAAAATACCTGCAACCTTGACTTGTAAGATGTTGGCGTGCCAGAGGCAGATGGCAGGGGAGCTGCAAGGGGCCCAATCCTTGTTGTGGCAGTGAAGCCCCGGCCCCTTCCCTGTTGTCCGCCCCAAGGAACGTGCCAAGCAAAAATGCTTTCACGCGCCACACTGGCACCCGTGCCATGGGTTGCCTACCCCTGGTATAGAGCAACAGCAAAATATTAAGCCACTCTTTAGTTTAATTTCAAAGCAAGGTTAAGAGTGCAGACCAGACAAGAAGGATATATTTCACAGGAGAGGGATTTTGCTACATTTTCTAGCTCATTCTAGTTTAAAGAGAGGAATGCTCTTATCAAAAGAACTTGAGAGTATGATTACCTTATAGAGGAGAACTTTAATAGCCCAGTAAGAGATTTATACAGTCAGTCACACCCTGTTGTTTTCCATTAAAGTTTGGAAAATCTGAAACTCAATTTAAAGCATTTGCCATTTCCATTGCAGCTAGTGGAACATTACTTTAGCTTTCCAGACGTCTTCTCCAACTACTGAATTCATTTCGAGCATTTAGATTTAGCAGTATTTTAGAAACTATATTTATTTGACAGGCAAGTGTTACAAAAGCAGTGGAGTGCATGTGGGGGGAAGAGAAATCAAACATGCCCTGGAGACTTCAAGCAGTAAGCCTGTGGATTCTCAATTTGTTTTTTGAGGATGCTTCCCTATCTGCATTTGAAGCAGTATTTGCTCTTTCAGTGCAGACACCCTGTTAAGAGCCTGACTGTTCTTCTTCATAAGAAGTATAGGTTCAATATAAAAATGCGTGTAAACTTCAGGAGGCAAGGTTTGAGGAGTTTTCACTGCACCTACTGAGAAGCATAGTAGAATTTATGCCGCATGATAAAACTGGGACAACTGAACACTTACTCTCCGCAGCAGTGTGCTCCTCTAGAGCTGGTTCATCTGTTCCTTGTACTGAGGCATAGCCAGATGAGGCAGTCTCACTCCGATTATCCTCTTCATTGACTGAAGTGATAGTTGGCATTTCGTTCGACGCTGTGGCTTGGATGGACTCCACTCCATCTTCTATATCTGGCTGTGAGAAATTGTGCAATTTAAAACGAAAGCAAGGTAGGGAGAGGGTCTATGAAGATGCAGCTTGCCCACCATTGCTGGGACGCTGCTCATTCACATAACACATGCCTGGTTTCTATGCTCTTCCTAGGAAGCATCCCCTAACTGCCACCACCAGAGACAGGAGAGTGGGCTTGATGCACTTTTGATTTGTCCCAGTAGCTGTTCATAAGAACAATTGTACTAAGCTGCCAGAGTCAGCAGTTGTTTCCACCTGAAGATGCAACCTCTTTACCATTGCTACAGACTCACCATATTATGGAAACTACTCAAAACCCCAAAGCTTATCCCTTGCAGCTTCAGAGTGACCCACCATTAGCATATAGTGCTCCAGGAGTCCATGCCTCTAGGAAGGAATGCCAACATACCTCAATTCCCAGAGCTTTGAGTATATCACACTTGCACATGGGGCACGTCCTGTGTTCTAGCAGCCAGGGGTCAATACAGTTCTTGTGGAAGAGATGACTGGTAGGAGAAAAAAAAAGTAACAAACAAGTGGCATTTAGTTCCTGACACTGCCATGACTAGAGGTGACCAACCTTCCCTGCTACAAACATGCTAGGGGCTCAGTACAGTGCTGAACAGGTCCTCTCAAGAGGTCTGATACACACATGCAGACTTACATGCATTCTGTTTAGTACAGTTACCAGAATACAGGCAGGAGCAAGCTAGTCGGTCACATGCTAATCTTGGACTCCTTGGGCCATTCAGGGGTCTCTGCATTTCATGATGCAACCACAAGTAATTGCTGGAACCCTAGACAGACTGGACCAGGGTTGCCTGTGGGCCAAATTCAGCATGTGGGACTCCCCCCGGGGTGGGAAATTCAGCACTGGGGGAAAATGGTGGCCATTAATATGGTCACCTTCCCCCCACCAAATACCCAAATCCTTTGCTACCAGTCACAACTGAAGCCATGCCCCCCCATTTGGATTGGGGCCAGGCCATGCCCCCTTTCCACACAAGGCCAAGTTGGGTCCAGGCCACACCCGTTCTCCTCCCCACATGGGACCAAGCCACACCCCTC